AATAGTGGAATTCGTCGCCAATTTCATTTAGATTGCATAATTTACATGTTTTATTTTCTCTCGGGGTTTTCTTCCATCGACCAGTTTCTATGGGTAATTTGGTATTACAAGTTCTAAATCTACATATTAGTTTAGATTTGTACATGGGTAAGACTGAAAGATATTTTTCGAAATCAAGACTATGTTTAAATAATCTGTAATTTAAACCCGTTGGAGATAATGCTATGCTACTATGCCATGATTGTAAAAACTGGTCTTTTAGAGACTGGGCAATAAGGGTGTTCAGCCATTTTATATTTAAAAAGGTTTGTGTTACATATATGTATGATAAGCCACATTCGTCAAGGATGTTTTTAATACATCTCATCCAGGGTGTATTGCAAGATTCTGACAGTTTGTATAGTTTAGTTGTCAGTTTGTTTTCATCAGTTACTACTTTAACCCAGTAACATACCATTCGTACTTTAATATCGAAAATTAAGGGATACCTGCCCAGTTCACCCAAGAACACCGAAGAACTTGTGGAATTATTTAGTGATAATATGTATTTACAATATTTCATATGGATTCTTTCGATATTAGTAATATTAGAGTAGCCCCAAATTTCACAAGCATATAATAATATAGGCTTTACTATTTTATCAAACATATCCAATTTACATTCTATACTTAAATTATGATTAGTACATTTTGATAAAACTCCGCACATAGCTTTCATAGATTTGTCATACTCTTGCAGTGATAGTTAAAATATCCATTTGTCTTGAAATAAACACCCAAGTACTTAAAATTATCAACAATATCGATACCTGAGTTATTAAAATAAAATGTACAATCATCTGGTTCTTTTCCATTAAAAATCATTATCTTAGTTTTATGTGTATTCACTTTTAATTTCCATAATAAGCAGTATTCATTGAAAATATTTAGTTGTTTTTGTAGGTCCTCGCTTGACTCTGCTAGCAATATAGTGTCATCAGCGTCCAATAATATAAATAGTTTTAGATAGATATGCAATTCATTTCGGGCTTTGCTAGATATAGAGCTAAGTCCGTTTACATTATTTTTATTCAGAAATTCTTCTAAATCATTCAAGAAAATGAAAAATAAAAACGGGGAGAGATTTTCGCCCTGTCGTATTCCGTTGGTACATTCGAAACTAGACGATTCTTCGCCGTTTAGTTTGACATTGGCTTTAATGTCCTTATAAATATTAATTATAACATTAAAACATTTTCCATTTATATAGTTATGTAATAATTTATTCCACAAACCGATCCTCCAAACAGTATCAAACGCTTTTTCAAAGTCGATAAATACACAATAAAGTTTCTTACGAAACCCTTTATAAAGTTGGATTAGAGTATACAAGTTAAAAATATGATCAACTGTGGAGTAATGTTTCCGAAAGCCTTCTTGATTTTCTAAAATAATCTGATTAGTTTCGGAGAATCGGTTTAGTCGTTCGTTAATAATGGAGGTGAACAGTTTGCCCAGGCAGCTCAGTAGATTGATTGGTCGATAATTACTTGGGTTTAAGGCATCTCCTTTATTTTTATAAATGGGGATAATATGTTCGATTAACCAGTCGGACGGAATTATTCCTGTGTCAAATACAATATTAAACATAAGAACATAAGTAGGTACCAATGCATGAATGCTATATTTTATATACTCGTTAATAACAGCGTCTTCGCCAGGAGATTTATTTACTTTTAGTTTTTTGACAGCTTTGAAAATTTCGTCAGCAGTTATGCCTGCGATTATACAAACATTGCTATCTCTATCATATATTTCATTCAATTCGTGCATTGGTAATACATAATCTGGAACATCATTGTCCACATTTCTTTTCAGATTACTAAAATAATCATAAAGCGACTGTAGGGGTATTTCACCATTGGCCTTGCCCTTACTGTTCTTATTAAGAATTTTCCAATATTCATTAGGATCTGAACATCTGATATTTTGTAATTTTCTTTGCATATCGATTCTATGCAATTTTATGAATTCATGTAAGTTTTTTTTGTAAGATGACCCTTTTCGTATAAGTTCGTTTTTAGATATGACCCCGTCATGTTTTTTATATAATCGTTTGAATTTTGTATAATTCTGACGCGCTAACCGACATTTTTTTATTAAACCAAGGTTGTTTATAAATAAATATCCTTTTAGGGACCTTTTTATTCATACACTAGCAGTATATCCCGCTTCGCTCGGGGGTCAAAACTCCGAAACCGGAAGTGGTAGACTAATGCCACCTGGCCTATGTTACTCCCCGGTCCGATCTACCCCTATACCCCAAATTTCAGACTCGGGGCAGACCTAGTGTAGCCGCCAACCCCGGCTTCGCTCGGGGGTCATAACTCCGAAACCGGAAGTGGTACACTAACGCCACCTGGCCTATGTTATTCCCCGGTCCGAGCTACCCCTATACCCCAATTTTCAGACTCGGGGCAGACCTAGTGTAGCCGCCAACCCCGAACAGACTGACTTCGCTCGGGGGTCATAACTCCGAAACCGGAAGTGGTACACTAACGCCAGCTGGCCTATGTTACTCCCCGGTCCGAGCTACCCCTATACCTTAATTTTCAGACTCGGGGCAGACCTAGTGTAGCCGCCAACCCCGAACAGACCGGCTTCGCTCGGGGTCATAACGCCGAAACCGGAAGTGGTAGACTAACGCCACCTGGCCTATATTACTCCCCGGTCCGAGCTTCCCCTATACCCCAAATTTCAGACTCGGGGCAGATGTAGCCGCAAACCCCGAACATACAGACTTCGCTCGGGGGTCATAACTCCGAAACCGGAAGTGGTAGACTAACGCCACCTGGCCTATGTTACTTCCCGGTCCGAGCTACCCCTATACCCCAATTTTCAGACTCGGGGCAGACCTAGTGTAGCCGCCAACCCCGAACAGACCGGCTTCGCTCGGGGGTCATAACTCCGAAACCGGAAGTGGTAGACTAACGCCACCTGGTCTATGTTACTCCCCAGTCCGAGCTACCCCTATACCCCAAATTTCAGACTCGGGGCAGACCTAGTGTAGCCGCCAACCCCGAACAGACAGACAGACAGACAGACAAACGACAGTCACAAATATATATATAGATACATGTCTGGTGCCAAAAGTGGACTTGACAGCATCTACAATAATATTACAAACATCATGCATCAAGTTATCAACGATATCATTATTTACAGTTTCAAGTTTCACTTTCCTTAGTATATTATTTATTTCATCTAGTTTGGGTAGGTTTTCATTTATCAGATGACAATATTCAACTTTATTTAGGGGATACCATCTATTGACAATTTCTTTGGTGACAGGTGTGACTTTCTTTTGATTTTGTTCATTATCACAGGAGAATAGGGGGGTAATTAGCAAACAAATCGGTTTATGGATATCTGAAACGAGGTTGGAATATGGGAGTATTGATAAGCCTTCAATTTTGGATAAGAATTCAGGATTAGATATACAATATTCTACAATACTTGCATCATTGCATGTAAATTCTCCAGTTCCTTTATCCTGGCCTAAACGGCCATTTAATATCACAAAATTGTTATGTTTTCATAAATTAAGTAGGAGTCGACCATAAGTGTTTATAGTTGTATCCCTTGATGCTCGCTATAATGGTATCTTTAACTGTTTAAGTCCAGCGTGACGTCTTTAATTAAGTTTACAGGGTCGCACGCTAAAAGATGGTTAATATTTTCACTTCCGTTGTCGTTTATAATGTCATCATTTTCTGCAGTTCTACCGTTAAAATCACCAACTAGGCACACATATTTAACATTATTAGATAAGGACATATACTCTCGTTCTATTTCTTCGAAAGCTTCGGGTGACGAGTATTTGGAATTAGCAGGGGGGGGGGGGGGGTATATATAATAAAATCAATCAACTTTGCTTTACTCGATATTTTATCCTTAAAAAGAGCTGCTATTCCTCCTGATTTCCTTTTCGCAAGTTAACGTCGGTGTTTAATAAAGAGTTTGTACCCTTCTAAGTAGATATCATCCGCTTCGTCAGTTTTTGTTTCAACAAAACATATGATATCATTTTTGGTGATTTCATTGTTAAACTCCGGATAGTTTAGTTTAGTTGAGAGTCCGCACACATTCACGTAAAATAAGCTTAATGATTTCTTAGTTGCGGTGTATCCGTGTATCACCTGATTATTATCGACTGTTAATATTCGTTGTTCCCCAGGGTTGTCCTATTCGCCCCCAAATGCCCCCAAGACTGGTTGTTTTAAACTTGTGACTTCCATATCCAAGTGGTTAGTTCTGCGTGGATGTAGCGTATCTCGGCGCGGATATTCGTCTTCATGGATGTTAGTATCTGGGTCAAATAATTCCCCTCCAATAAACAGCTTGTCAACTTTCAATACGGCTTTTTTATTCATTCGTTTCGCGGCTTTAAAATGTGGGTATAATGCCTTTCGTCTATCATTTATTTCTTTCGGAAATTATTCGTTTACACCATAGGGTTTACCTTTCAATGTTTTTGGGGCCTCGTATCTAACTAAATCCCTATCTTTTGAAAAAACGAAATTGGCTATTATTGGCCCTGTTTTTATTGGGTTGTTGTTTACCAATCCGCTGCACTCTGTTAAATTTCAAATCTTTTTGAATTCCCATTACAGTATGTAAGACGTTGTTTAATTCCGTCTCTGTATTTTCGTCGGTCATTTCCACAATTCCAGTAAATATGAGATTGTTACTCATCGAGCGCATTTGCAAGTCAATCTGAGTGTTTCTCATCTCAGTCACATTTGTGTTAAGCCGGCTGAGTTCAGTTCGAGTGAATTCATTTCGCGTCTGTAAAATATTTGTTGTCACCTTCAAGTCCTTCACATTTAACTTCATATCATTCAATTCCTGTCTATTTATTTCAAATTGTCCGTTTATGAAATCGAGGCCTTTATCCATTTCGTCAACTCGTTCTTCAACTTCTTTCATATCACCATTCATACTATCGACTTTTGTTTCAACAGAGGCTAGGCGCCGTTCAACAGAGTCCAGTTTATTTAGTTTGATACTAAGTTCGTCTATTTTATTTGTTAACACATCTAACTTTGAATTAAAATCGTTTCCGATCACCGGGGGTGACATATAACCTACAAACTGTCCCTGTGGGCCCGGTGGCCCATATTGACATTGTTGATAACCTGCTAGTGGCGTAGAGTGAAGTTGGTATTGTTGTGAAGAGTTAAGTGAGTTGTTATTCAATAAACTCATTCTAGGTATTGTAAAGTTTTCAGTCTCATTCGCCTGTATTTTACAATGGCTTTCATCACTTACGTTTTTTTCCTTTAGCTTTCCTTTTTCTTTTCTTCTTTTCTTTTGGGGAACTCATATGCACATATTAGTATTATCCATTTAGAACTTTTTTTTCCAACTTATAAGCAAGTTTACAATATAATAAGTCACGGTTGGCTGGTTACTGGACAACACGCTAAAACGTCCTCTCACCTCAGTAAGAAGCCTTATTAATGAAATAAAACTTAAACAGGTGTTAATTTCACTCTGATTTACAGTTAGTTAGTTTTCATGATAAAAATCACATTACTTGAAAATAAAAGTTAATCATACAAATATCAAATCATGCTAATTTACAATAAAAGTGTTTTAACGTTAAACGGACCGAGGTTTTATAGTTATTGGTGTTTTATATATTGGGATCTAGATAATTAAGCATAAAAATTAATAGGTTAGAATTTTAATATTAATGATATATTGAATACATTAACAGGTATTTTATTGAAAATATATTAAATTTGTCGAGATTATTAAAAAATATTAAACAGTTTTATTGTGTTATGAACAAAGGTTAAGAATTAATGTCAAAATGGAGGTACGTATATAAACTGTTTGTGAATTTGAATAATTCAGTATCCTGAGAGAAGTTTGAATTGAAGTTAAGACTATCAACTGATCGATCAATATGGAAAGTGTAAGTATCATTAGTTGTAATTCATTATTTTGATGGGTTTGATTGTTGACTGCTTTAGATTATTGTAGGTCTGGTTGTTGATGGTGTTAGATTGCTGTAGGTGTGATTGTTGGTTGAGTTGGATTCCTGTACGTGTCGTTGTTTATTGTGTTAGATTCTTGAAGCCGGTATATTTAAAATGTGATTAGAATTGCTCTAGATGTGATTGTTAGTTGAGTTAGATTGTTGTTGGCGTTATATTGAAAGCTGCGTTATGTAAGAGCTAAATCTGTCTAATGCATTTCTTTTGTTTGGCCTCAAATCTTACATAAATCAGTAATTAGACACTTTATCACTCTCTAGACCATCGGATAGTTTTGATATTTTACGGATTTAAACACGATTGCAATGTAATTAAAAATAGATAATCGCAACTTTGTTTATTATCGTAACAGCGTTTGTAATGGCAATCTAAAATGTTCTTCAGACGGTCATAACTCCTCTCCGAATGAAGTAATGTGACTGACATTTTCAACTTATTCCGTTTTCATTATCTATTTAATAACTTTTATAGGGATCAGTGCCAGATCTTTATCTAAATATTACATAATGGATCTTTAAACTTTTCTCGATGATGCATTTAGCTTTATATATCGTATTCAGCTAATTGATATTCGCGAAGATCATGACTGTTTACTCAAATCAGATGATTTTTCACAAGATACCGTTATACGCCATTGGTAGAATCTTATTTCTGTATCATCTCATGAGAAATGTAAAACTGTTACACAACTTGATATATTACCCTCAGATTGACGAACTGGGTTGATGAGATTGACTGTGTAACAGTTTAACATTTCACATGTGATGTAGAAATATTTGTTTAGTACGGACTCGCTTTTCACCCCCTTTGATGGTTTCTAAATGATTATCTCTGATTGTGTGCGGGGGGGGGGGGTAGTACGTGCGCGCTGTATCATAAGGACTGTGATTGAGTCAACTGGCGTGGTATCGATGCTCCGGTTGTACGTGACAAGGAGTAAGGTCGCCTGTCCAACTTCGTGGGTTTTCTCCGGGTCCTCCGGTTTTCTCCTACTGCTAAAGACCGCTACGCGCAAGCGAATTATTGAAATAAAATTAAAACCATGTTATTCCCGAAATGACCTAGTTTGTGTTGAGTTGAGTGGACGTTGTTAGCACATGTGTGCTTTGTATTTGTAGATAAAGATATTGTTGTTAGATAACACGTGTGTATTTTGTAAATGTAGGTAAAGATATTGCTGTTAGATAACACGTGTGTATATTGTATCTGTTGGTAAAGATATTGTTGTTAGATAACACGTGTGTATTTTGTTTGTGTAGGTAAAGATATTGTTGTTAGATAACACGTGTGTATATTGTATCTGTAAGTAAAGATATTGTTGTTAGATAAGACGTGTGTATTTTGTATTTGAAGGTAAAGATATTGTTTGTGCTGTGTTTAATATTAGAATGCTGCAACTGCTGGGTAAATAAGTTTGACGAGCCAGTATGGTATGAATGTCCAGCCGGGGAACAGCTTAGTTCAATAACCAGTGAACATGATAATCATTTCGAGGACAGACAATGGGACTTCACGTGCGCCCATTTGGCCCCATTGGGCTTATGTTCTTGGCATAGTAAGTCCTCTTCTTCAATTCCACAGCTTTCTATTTTAGATAAATCAAGGGGAGCGATGGTGGCTAAGTGGGTAAGGCGCTGGCTCGCTAGCTTGGAGGTCGCGTGATCGATCCCTGTATTGGCCGAGAAAGTTCTTCGGGATTTTCCGACGTGGTTTCCCCGTGTTAGTGGTGCAGGACGGATGGCCTGACAAGGACAGCTGTCTAGTCGTTCGGATGGGACGAAAAACCGCGATCCCGTGTACACATTGGCGTGCACGTAAAAGATCCCTTCGATATCAGAGTAGGCCATAGTGTCGCTGCCCAGGCAAAATGTTCCTCATATCACACTGTATAACGTATGCTCGTAGGACGTTAAAACCCATTTCTTTTCATTTTAGATAAATCTCTCTCTCTCACACTCCCTCTTGTTATCCGCGTGTACACTAATAATACAAGCCTTTGTTCCCGTTTCTGTAGTCACAGTTACCTCCTTTGTTGGCATGGGCAAGTTTATAAAGAATTGACATCAAACACCATCTTGTTGATGTTTGCAGTTATATCGGAGAACCTTGATTATCAAACGTTAAGTATTTCTTCAATGAAATTTAGATAGACTTGATTATCTAAAGTTACATTTTCTACAGTTATATAATATTGTTATTTCAGATAATATTAATCAGCATGACGGAGTAATGGATTTTAAATGTCCAGATTCGGGTGCAATAACTGGTATCAAAAGTGTCCATGACAACAACAAAGAGGATAGGATTTACCACATCGAATGCTGTGCAATGTCCAACAGTACGTATTTCCAAAGGATTATCAAACTCAGTACAACCAAGGGCACCACGGTGGCTAAGTGGGTAAGACGCTGGCTCGCTAGCCTGGAGGTCGGGTATTCGATCCCTGCATTGGCCGAGAAAGTTCATCCCGATTTTCCGGCGTGGTTTCCCCTTGTCAGTGATGCAGGTCGGAGGGCCTGACAAGGACAGCTGTCTAGTCGTTCGGATGGGACGAAAAACCGAGGTCCCGTGTACACATTGGCTTGCACGAAATACATCCCTTGGCAGTTGGAATTCGATATAAGAGTAGGCCGTAGCGCCGATTCACGGGCAAAATTTCCCTCATAGCACACTGTATGGCGTATGCCCGTCTTCATTAGCCCAGGTTAGGAGCAGAACAGTTGGACGTTAAACCACATTTCATTTCATTTCAGTACAACCAAAATATTGAACAGAGAGAGAGAAATGGGGTTAAACGTCCACTCGACACAAACTAGGTCATTTCGGAACTAACATGGTTTAATTTTATTTCAATAATTCGCTTGCGCGTAGGGGTCTTAAGCAGTGGGAGGAAACCGGAGGACCCGGAGAAAACCCACCAGGCTGGACAGGCGACCCTACTCCTTATCACGTACAACCGGGGATTCGAAACCACGCCAGTTGACTCAATGACAGACCTTATGATACAGCACGCACGTGCTAACCATTCGACGATCCAACCCCCCAAATACTGAACAACATTACAACAACATTTTGTTATGTGCCCTAGATAGTTGGGTTTTTTTTTTTTGTAAAACAGTCGTCACAACGTTGGTTTGGGTGTCTGAGTGCATAAACGCATTAGATCACACGGTCTACCAATTAGTAAGGTCGTCTGTCTAGTTGAGTTCCTCTGTGTCCCCCAGTTTTCCCCCTCCCATCACAACGTATGCTATTATCATGTCACATGACCGATCAGTGACAGCTAAAAGTTTTCTATTCATCTAGATATTATTGGCAACCTTATCACTAGGCTAGTATATCACTGATATTGCGTTATAACTAAGACACGTGGTGATTAAATCGCAACAACAACAAAAAACTAGAACTGCGATGCAGTAATGACGGGTTTCACCGGTGCCACGTTACCCTTGAACTTATGTCACTTCAGTGCCACGTTACCCTTGAACTTATGTCACTTCCGGTACCAGTGAAACCATTAAACCTATTTCTACACAAGCATTGCACACGTGTTATAAAATGAACGCAGAATCAACCAAATCCAGCAATATCAATTCCATTTATACATTTTATACCATGTGTTACATATTTCAAAAAGGTTATCCTGAAAAATTTTTTGCCGCTAAGTTAGTTGACTTTCTATTGGGAAATTCAAATGCGAAAAAAGTGATCTTGACAAAATTGGTTATTTCTCGACAAGGTAAGGCGCTAGAAGCAATTTATGGACATTTATATATTCGTATTGATCCAATCTATATGTCCATTTGAATCAAATAAATAATGTTAAATGAGTAATAAATATAACTCATTTAAAAAAACATGTTTGTTTTGAAGGCTAAAAATACAGTTTTTGCCAACATGACATTACTTCCGGGGATAATGATAAATTAGTTCTATGAAATCATAAATGGCATCACATGGTGAAAATTTTATAAAAATCAAATAATAATTGACACTTTTATAGACTAAAACCCTTGAAAAGTGACTTGTAGAAAATTGTCTATTTCTCTGCAACCATACAAGTTAGAAACCAATTTGGGATATCTGCATGATCGCATGGGGTCATTCTATTTGTTGATTGGAATCAAATATCATAATTTAAAACCATTACAAATCAGACTCATTTGAATAAAATACAGTTTTTGCCCAAATGACGTCATTTCAGGTGACAGTGAAGATGATAAATTGGTTTTACCTAATCAAAATTGGCATTAGGTATCAAATGGTAAAAAAAAAATTGAAATTCGAATAATAATTGACTCCTTTACAGGCAAAATATCGTAAAAAGTGACGCATACATTATTACCTATTTCTGGGCAACTGCTCATATTACAATCTAATTTTCACATACATTCGCTTCGTATGGATTAATGCTACAGGTTTATGAGCGTTGTTAAGAAATAGTTTAAAATATAAAAAGCTTGAATACAATGTAAATAGCTCATTTTTACCTTTTTTCACTTGTAAATCAAAATGGCACAAATACAAAACCGAAATTTAAATAAATAAGCCTGACATATTTATCTTGATCTTTTAGATTTGTAAACATTAATATTTGCATTTGAAAAGGCCTTTCGATTGTCAAAATTGAAGTTTTGGGCAAAATTATTTCATTTTCGGTGCTGACCGAAAATTTTATTTGTATAAAAATGTTGAGAATTCGCACAACAGGGCATATGAACTTTTCTTTTATACAAATCAGGCAATAAATATTTAACTTAGAATCCATAAACTGAAATTAAAATGCGAAAAATCTTAAAAAGTGATCCTGACAAAATTCGTTATTTCTCGGTATGGGAAGGTATTAGAAGCACTTCGTTGATATCTATATGATCGCATTGATTAATACTATTTGTCCATTGGAATCAAATATCATAATTTTATACGAATAATGAATATCACTTACTTCAAACAAATATTTGGTTTAGAGGCTAAAAATACAGTTTTTGGCCAAATACATTACTTCCGGTGATAATGAAAATCTTAAATTACTTGTATGAAATTGTAAATGGCATTAGGTATCACATAGTGAAGATTTTACGAAAATCGAATAATAATTAACACTTTTAAGGACCAAAAACCTTGAAAAGTGACCTGTTGAAAAATCGCCTATTTCTCCGCCACTGAACAAGTTAGAAACCATTTTTTGATATCTTTATGATCGTATAGGTTCATTGTATTTGTTGATGGAAATCAAATATCAACATTTTAAACAAATAACAAATAGGACTCATTTCAATAAATTATTTGTTTCGAAGGCTATAAATAGAGTTTTTGCCCAAATTCCACCATTTCCGGTGACACTTAAAAAATATTAAAATTGTTTGAACTAGTCACAATTGACTTTACGCTTCAAATGGTGTCAATGTTATGAAAATCCAATAATAATTGACTCTTTTACAGGCAAAATAGAGTAAAAGGTGACTCATGCAAAATTGTCTCGCTACACCTTGACAACCGTCGCGGGAGAGATGAAGGCCGAAATCTAGTAATTTTGTATCACTAATACCAATACCAAAGTTGCGATACCAACTTTAGAGAGCCGTATTCCAGAGCTCTGGTTAATATTTATTATCAAAGATACATTATGTAAGATTTAGATAAAAATTTTGCCATAAAAGTTTAAAAATAGATAATTCAAAATTAATATATTGAATACTTCATTCAAATTATTTTATTCAACAATTGGACGAATAAAGTCAGCCATTCGCCATTCAGTGGGTCGTGAGGATAATTTTACGAAAAACAATCCTTGATGTGTTCGACAATTGTTGAATAAACCACATAATGATGACATATTGTACTGGTACTTTAACCATTTATACCATTTCTATTTCAGCTCCTAATGTATGCAAATTGACAGATTATGCAAACGAATTCGATGGCCTCCTTGATTACAAAATTCCAACTAATAAATACCTAAATGGGATATACAGTGTGCACCAAAATTTTCAAGAGTAAATACTATCTCATAATATTAATTGTCTCAAAATATCTAACAATATCGGTACCCATACTGTGTTTATATATCTTATGTATATAGTACTGATACTATGTTCATACCTTATGTTACTAATATGTTCATACCTTATATATAGTACTGATGCTATGTTCATACCTTATATACGGTACTGATACTATGTTCATACCTTATATACGGTACTGATACTATGTTCATATCTTATGGTACTGATACTATGTTCATACCTTATATATAGTACTGATACTATGTTTATACCTTATATATGGTACTGATACTATATTCATACCTTATATACGGTACTGACACTATGTTTATACCGTATATATGGTACTGATACTATGTTCATACCTTATGGTACTGATACTATGTTCATACCTTATATATGGTACTGATACCATGTTCATACCTTATATATAGTACCGATACTATGTCCATACCTTATATATGGTACTGAGACTATGTTCATACCTTATATATGGTACTGATAGTATGTTTATACATGGTACTAATACTATGTTTATATATCTTATATTATATGGTATTGTGACTATGTACTGAGAATACCAGGTGGACCATGCCCTTTAATACCAGGTGGACCACCTCCTTTAAATACCAGTGATAATGATCGTGTTTTTTGTTTGTTTTCAGAGATCGACGTTTTAAATTCAATGAATGCGACCTTTCGTAAATGATGATTTACATGCGCAAGACTCTCTTTAAGAGATTGATAAATAAAAATGCATTTTAGATTTGTTGTTGTTTTATTTGTTATCATGGTTCAGTATGGGAATATGGGAATCGTATAATGTGATATAACGTTAGTATGTGAATCGTATAATGTGATTACACTATTTTGTCTATACCGTTTTTTTAGGACTTCGAATTTTGTCTAATGGTTTGGATTCTTCGTACTTGGTTTTATTTTAATTATATTATATGGTATTGAGACTATGTATTGAGAATACCAGGTGGACAATGCCCTTTAATACCAGATGGACCAGATACTTTAAAAAGTATTAAGTATTGTCTCAATTATCTGTTAGGTTTGTGAAGTTTTATAATAGATATACGGTGTACGGTGTTATATGGTGTTCTGGAAATGCACTGCCCCGTGGACGACTCCCGGTACTAATAAATATTGACTAGAGACATATATAAAGAGGGCATAGACAACGATTGTCTTCATTGTTATATATTTGTCTTGTTCTAATGTTGATCTTTTGAACTTAAATATTGGGTAACAAAATGGCGACAAGGCTAGCAGTTGGGCAGACTCTATCTATATATACTCAGCCAAATTAAAAACTTGACACTCGGGATTTTTGGGACTAGATTTTTAATATTTGGTTTAAGGCAACTATTTTAGTGTTATGTTGTGCACAGACGACCTTGACATCAACAGAAAACAAGAATACGTCTCACGAAAATCCTTGACATTGATAACGTTCGTGATGTCACAGTACCCCCCAAAATGAAATTCACAGACTTGGAGAACAATGGGAATAAAGTGTTTAGTAACGGTTGTGGCCTCCTCTAGCGTCTCGTACTGCCACACAACGTCTTCTCATGGATCTCAGAACATTAGTAAACACTACCCGAGGAAGACGTCGCCACTGCTCAGCAAGAGCATGTTGAAGGTCCTGCAACATCAGTGGTGGATTCACGTGATGACGAACACGTCGACCCAGTTCGTCCCAGATGTGTTCAATAGGATTAAGGTCGGGGCTAAGCGACGGCCAATCCAGGACTTGGACACCGGCATTTCTTAAAAACTTCTGGGTAGCAATTGCTGTATGGGGTCGAGCATTGTCTTGTTGAAACGTTAGTCCAGGCCTATGTCTCTGCATAAATGGAAGAAGAACAGGTAGCAAAATCTGATCCCTGTACTGGACAGCATTTAAGTTTCCTTGGACAACAACAAGAGGAGAACGTCCATGTGCACAAAAAGAACCCCAAACCATGACGCTGCCGCCACCAAATCGGTCAACTTCTCTGACGCATACATGAGCGTAACGTTCACGTCGTCTGCGGTACACTCGGACCCTGCCATCGGCAAATCTCAAAGTGAATCGTCACTAAGGACAACCGAATTCCACTGTCTTTGAGTAAATCTTATGTGTCTTGTGGCCCACACAAATCGGTTACGGCGATGAAGAGGTGTCAATATTGGTCCATTATAGGGCCTCCGAGCTCGAAGACCAGCAGCCTGCAAGCGATTTCGAACAGTTTGTGCAGTTACCCTTCCACCAAACATCTCTCTACTTGTGGAGGTTGCAGTGACAAATCTGTTTCTAAGATCAGTAGCGGATTATCAGTGAGGCTGATGAGGCTGCAGCCTCAGGCCCAAAGGTTTTGTAAAAAAAAATTTTTTTAGACTTGTCTGATACGATTAAAAACGCATAGACAATGAATGTTAGGGGTGGGGTTTAGGCCCAGCGGGAATCAACATAGGCCCTTACCCGAAATTAATTAGGCCCACGCCATTTTAAATAGGCCCTATTATTTGGAGATCTGATCTTATTTGTTAAACGTAGGCCTATAATGTACGTTAAATCCCTGTAAGTTTTCGGTTATGTCTTATATCCACGTGACGTCATTTATGGGCATATAAAGTTATATTACCAATAGCAAACGACTTTGGCTTAAGAAAAAACATCTAGCAAAAGATCTTGCGCTAGTTTCGATGTAAACACCCAATCATGAGGAAATATTATCCTTGAAAATAGGTGTATGTACAGTTGGTTTCCGGTGACGTTTCTGCTGTCAAAGCATTTTGTACGACAAATTTTAATAGTTATAACTAATATTTTAATAATATTATAACCTCAGTAACGAATCCCGTTTTTTATGTTAGCAACTACCTTGGCTCTAACTTTAAAAACTAAATAGGCCCTCCAGCAACTGCCGCCTCAGGCCTTGGTGGAGCTTAATCCGCCACTGTCTAAGATGACGTAATCGTATTGCTTGATCTTCCTGGAGTGACGTCACATGTGGCGCTGCCGCCCTTGGGCGGTCTGCAATAGTTCCAGTTTGAAGCACTCTCATTCTAAGATTAATTATTGTCTGGCGTGAACAATTAAAGGCTCTTGCAACAGTGACCACAGACTGACCAGCATAGAGCCTACCTATAGCACGTAGACGTTCTACATTTGAAAGGCGCGGCATTTTCTAACAAAGATGAAAATAACAATTTTAATTTGTTTTTCCAGTTCAAGTTACGTGTGCGTGTTCAGTTTAAGCAAACTTGCATCGATTGACCTCACGAGTTTGTGTTTGCACGTGTTTTTCAGGTTTTTCATATTTATATGCTCAAAAGTCACGTTACAATTTTATGAAACTAAAGGCTTCTCACTACTTACTATCGTTAGAAACACTTTAAAATTTATTTGACTTACCAGAAAAACAAATTTGTTGAAATTCATCAGTGTCAAGTTTTTAATTTGGCTGAGTATATGTATTTGGTTATAGACTTCGATTTAAGATAGCAAAGCCACTCGATAGACAGCAAACTTGGGACTTAGGGCGAACAATGTCTAAATATGGTCTATATCGTCCGGGAGATTCGCAATTCCTTCTACGACATGGATTTGAAAACGCGAGTTCATTTTGAGAACAAGATGGCCCTCCTCTATAACTTGCCATGTCGAGGATTCGTATGGACATAACCACATCTACACTCATATTTTCCATAATATTCGAAATTAAAAACAAGAATTATAATTCAACATTCATCCATTTCAATCAATATTTTTCTGGTTATCTTATTGTTTCAATATGGGATCCTAATATGCAATATTTAACACGCAATTAATATTTTATAATCAGTCCACGAGTCGTGTATTCTATGGTTTCAGGTGTCTAATTGTCGTGCAATGTACACAGTTTCCGTTAGTTTTCACTGACACTCTGTATTTTATATTTGTCTTGTTCTGAGGTTCTACTGATGTTAACTATTGGGTAACAACATGACAATCAGGACTGCAATTGACCAGACTCTATTTATATATGGCTCTGGTATGGACATCAAAGCCAATCGGTAGACGGCAACCCTGAGAGTTAGTCTAATACTTTCTTAAAATGCTATATATTGTCAGGGAAACCACAATTTCTTCTTCTGCGACGCGGATTTAAAAACGCAAGAACAAGACATCATGTCGTGGGATGGGAAGGCAATATGCATAACGGCTGGCTTACTGAAAAAACGTCACATAAATTGCCATTAAAGTTTATCTAACGACCATTCCAAATAAATATTCATAATGCAGTTATTATATCATTTTAATATTTGAATAAATCACATTAAAAATTGGTCCAAGATGAATCTCAATCGAGTGAAATTTGATAGTTATTGTTTTTATTTATATTGGAATCTAAATAAAGATGCATTGTATAGGTCGGGATTTACCAAACGGCATAGAGCACTATTGACATTGGGCGCACGGTTACCTGGGCCCTACCGAAACTAATTTGTCAGGCAGCGTATTGCGGCTAAATCTATTTGTTAAAGCCAGCTCAATTTTCATAAAAATCGCTGAGATGTAAATAAGGTTAGGTCACGTGATTGTTGGCGAAATTATGGGCTATGGTTACGTTAAGCATTAGGACTAGGTCTAGGGTTAGGTTTAATAATTTTGGGGGAAAGGTTAAGTCTCCACCTAAGCACTGACCTAGGATGATGAAAAATTGTTTCGTGATATTTCCTAGTTTTTTTAAAAATACATGCAAGATTTACATACTTTAGTTGGTTTCGCTGTTTTTGGTGGTGGTGGTGGTGCTGATGGTCTTCCTTCGATGTCGCTTGTGGTATTCTGGTATTTTGGTTTCTGAAGAAAAAAGAATAAATTTGAGGCTCTCGGGTGAGAGCTACATTAGTGTGTTTCGTACTCAGGATTGGATTTTCTAAAAGTGATTTTTTTCCCATATCCCGGGGTAAGGGCTAGGGATTCTTATAACTTGTTTCAAGTGTATAGCGGGTAATTCATTCTATAATATATTCATAATAATAAATATAGGACCCGGGGATATGCCAGGGGGTGGAGGCGGACTAGTGATTGAATCAAGTGGCTTGTTTTGATTGCCCGCTTGTACGTGACAAGGTGTAGAGTCGCCTGTTCAGCCTCGTGAGTTTTCTACGGGTCCCCCGGTTTCATCCCACCTCTGAAGATCCCTACGGGCAAGCGAATTACTGAAATAAAATTAAAACATTTTTAGTCCCGAACTCACCTAGTTTGTACCGAGTGGACGTTAAACCACCCCTCTCTCTGTAGCCCTATTCATTTCTACGAGTCGCTTATTAGATGCGGAAAGGCACGCTACAGAAATCTCCCCACATCCAACGTGTGACGCATACCGTCTCATCTGCTACATATTATAATAGCCCTGTGATCGTTTAGTATTGTCTCTGGTTATTTTTGTAATTCTTTACTCTAGGACCCCACTTTAAATATTGTGTATATATGTTTGTCCCAGCCGTTACAACGTTTCTCTGAATGTCACGCTGACAGCTCACGTTGTGAATTTGCATGTAACTCCGTTTATTCAATTTATGATTACGCACAGGAATAACAATATCACAATTTGTTTCTACATTTTTATGTCAAGCGCTGGATACACGTACAGGTTACAAGCAAAGATTACAATTAACGTCATTCTCCCTATCTCTCCACCCTAACCAACTTGGTAGGGCAA